GGCGTGGAGTGAGTCCCTGCGTATTGGTGGCGCTGGTGACGCACACTAGGGCTGTACCCGAATATCCGAATATTCGTTCGTTGGAGTACTATTCGAGTTTCAATTTCGTTATTCGGATATTCGTTTTTTTTTATTATTCGTTTTTTAAATTTTATTTATTGAACTCTCCAATATCAACGTAAGAGCTTGTGCCTCTTCGGGGGGTGCTAACACTTAACCATAAAAGTTATCGTTTACTTTCTCCGTCTTTATATGTAGATATTACTTTTTTTCCATCAATCTCCATAGCAACAACAACTTCCTATCAACTGCGCTAACTCTCCTTCAAAATAAAAGCATGTCCATACAAAATAGAAAGCCAAGCCAAATTACACTTATATTAAAACATATACAACTGCAACGAAAGTAACAAACACAATATCCTTTTCAATTTCAAAGAACAAAAATTGGGTTATATACATTAACAAATAACTATAAAACAACAATACTGTAGAATAACAAAAAGAATGAAACGAAAACGAATATTTGATTACTACCGAATATCCGGAGCCCGAAAAATGATATTCGGGACAGCCCTAACACACACACACACACACACACACACACCGACACACACACACACACCACATTTGTTTGTGTGTGTGTGTGTGTGTGTGTGTGTGTGTGTGTGCGTATCTGATGTGTGTGTGTGTGTGTGTGTGTGTGCTGTGTGTGTGTGGTGTGTTGTGTGTTGGTGTGTGTGTGGCTGGTGTGGTGATGGTGTGTGGGTGTGTGTGTGTGCGTAGTGTTGTGTGTGTGGTGCATGCATGTTTCCAATAAACAGTAGGCCTTCCGACTCACCATCACAACATCCAGGGCGTATATCAACATAACAACCAAAGTATCGATACGAAATTGAACAACTCCGAATAGTACTAGGGGGTACTCCACACGAACGAATATTGCGCGGGAGTATTTCGTACAGCGCCTAGTGTGTGGTGTGTGTGTGTGTGTGTGTGGTGTGTGTGTGTGTGGTTGTGGTGTGTGTGTGTGTGTGTGTGTGTGTAGTGTGTGTGTGTGTGTGTGCTGTGGTGTGATTAGGG